CCATTTACAACGGGAGCGGTGCACTTGGGCACGGTGCATTTGGACACAGCCAATCACAGCACCGTGTGATTAGAGACATTTGTAGGGTCCCTTGGAACAGCGACTTGTGATTGGACTGTGTCCAATTGCCCCGTGTCCAACTGATATACACCCACTTACAACCACGTTCACGTAATTGTAGAATGGGCTTTACATGGGCTGCGATCCGAAATTCATTTCCAGTACTGAAATTCTACAGTATACGTAACATGAACTATAGATTTTCAGTACTGGAAGTGAATTTCGGAACGCAGTCATGGACGTAAGGCCGGTTTTACAATATGTCGTATGTCGCTATCGAATGTCGGAAGTAGTCGATGGTCCAATAAAGAGAACTCGTCTTGAAAAACATATCCTCTGATTAGTCCATCGGCTGCACTTCGATACACGACAGCGACATATGACGTATTATAGAATAGGCTCAAGAATACATGGACGGAGCGAAAAGTGTAATTATAGACGAGTGGCTGTGAGGCCGGTGTAACGTCCGGACTTATTTTGAAACATTAATAATGTATTATTGGGAGTACAAATTAGTTCGGTCCGTTTTCAAAAGATGGCTCTGGCTGTTATGAATGTATGGGATTATGACCGTCCACATTTATCGAAAACACGATCTCGTGATTCCGGTCGGTGTGCGGGAACAAAATCAGAAGAAAAATAAATCCTGATATACTACAGAACTGATCTTTATTGTTTCTCTCTCACGTATAATATTCGACGTACGACTCTGTTACTCAACTCACTAGAGATGCGCTCTCTGCTACCTTTTTATCGTCCGTCCGTTACCAATTGTTAACTAGTGAGCCTACAGCTCGAGGAGAAATTTCCTAGGGGAAAATTCCCGAAAGCCACAGTACCCCCCTCAGGGGTGCGTTCAAAAACATCACCAGTGTGTATTTTGTCATACTCAGATCGTTCGAAAACCCCTAGTGGGCACACTGACCATGCGACCATGGCCGTTCGAAAACCGTACTCCGTGGACCACTCGTGTGACTTTTCTCCACTCTCTTTTGCGCGGTGTGAATCGGTGGAGATGGTGGAGAGTGCGCAAAGAGTGCAATACAGTATGAAATTACTAAATTATTTATGGTTTTTTGTTCTTCGAAACATTCGTACAACCATTAGCCATCACGGTAAGATAAAAAATTTAAATACAGCAGTGTTAGCCAGGTTTAGATTTATTTCTGTATTTAGTGATGTATATTGTCAGAATATTGTCTTTAAATATAAATAAAGCTTATTAAGCTTTTTGTATTTTATAGGTTCTGAAATTTTCTTACGAGATACGAGGCACGTTAAAAGTCACGAATCAGTAACAATTTGTGAAAAAAAATGGAAAATTTAATCTCGGGTCGTCATATTTTATGCATGGATATTTAAAAAAATATACAAAAGGATGACAAGGGAAATGTCTATATATACGATGTTAAAGGTAAGGAGT